CATCAGGCATCATGAAATCAGACTCCAACGAGCAGCGGCCTCGTCCCCAGCAGGTGCGGATGTGGCCTGAATGTCAACGGATTGCTTACCGCAACTCGGAGACACTTATGTTAGGTCGCTTGACATGTTGTGTCCAGCCTTGCCTGACTCCCAATCTGAAAGATGTCTGACCTTGGCATTTGAGGGATCCACCGAATCATTAAGTTTCACAGATAGGCAGGTTGTGTGATGGACGGTGCGAGATTTTTTGTATCTCGCAGGAAGACACGCTGCTACACCCTCTGCACCGACTGAGTAGAGCGACGGTAGGAGACTTCACGGAGGCCATTAAGCTTGACAAGCCTGCTGAACCTAAATATTTGGTGTCGCGACCACTCAGACGGATGGTGTCACACCAGCATCAGCCGCTTCTCAAGCTTCAAAGCCTCGACACAGAGGACTTGGTTCATGTGCTCCCACTCATCATGAGGCTAGCGTGGGCCTGCTTGTGATGTCAGGAGGCCGAGGGGGCATTCGCATGACCTGAAAAACCACGGATGGTGTCATGTATGTCTTTTGCGCAAGCTTGCCGTCATGATATCGACAGGCTGCTAGGAAGACGAAGCACGAGATGTCGCCGGGGATGTAGGGCTGAGAGCTTTCGGCTCCTCGCAGGAAACATGGTTTGTTGATTATCCACTTCCGATCAGGTGTGCGTCCAGCCTCGGCCTGGGATGCGGCTTCGATGCCTGCCTGTCAGAGGCATGCCAGTGCTGGGGTGTGAGCTTGTGACGACCGGCCTTGCCTCAGAGGCATTCACAAGGGATTCGGTAGGCACCTGCACAGGGGGCCTCAGAGCTGCCTTGGCCATTACATATTGACATATAGATGGAATGGGCCTCCCTGCTTCGAAGGACTTCTGCGGCCATGTCGTCCAGCATTATCTGGTCAGTCAGAAGCCCAGCAAGTTCAACACCGAGGAATGATACTAGCTACTTGTAGTCACAAAGTTTAAAGTTGCAAAGACAAGGCCACGGAGGCCTCCTTGATGTTGAGCTCCTCTTTCAAAGTAGTGTTCTGGACCTGAAGAACTTGGGATATTCATGTGGGATTATGGGTCTCGGGCTCAGTAAGAAGTGCACCTCCTCTGTCAAGGCCCGTTGTGTGATCTCTGTCTGCACCTCCCCTGCCTTAGATGTTGCGTGATGTAGCTGCTTTTCTGAGAAGAGAACGCATGGCCTGCAGTTCTTGCCGGAGCAGGCTGTCGCGCAGTGTGATGGCCTGCCAGGAAAATGAATCCCTGATTTTTTCACAATGGCACGGATCACCCGCCTCTTGCGACTGCTCCTCTTCCTTTGCCTCCCGATGCATGGGAATCGCTGCGACAAGCAACTTTCAGCAGCTTTTGCCATCCCCCCTATCCCCCCCGCCCCTCCGCCTGGAACGCCTCCTCCTGAGGTCGCGTTCTAATTTCCGAATGCAGATGCTAGCCAGTCCCGCACGCCCACCTGTGTCCTGAGCTCGGCCTTCAGCTGGAACGTCAGCAAGTCCTAACCAGGAAGCGCACTGTGCAACGACTAGTCCGACTCCCTGGAGATGCTCCTTCATCTCCTTGTGAGTCTTGTCCTGGCGAGCCATCTCAGCTTCCTTCGCCTTGCGTGCTGAGGAAGTGTTTCGAAATGATTTTTTGGGATGTGACTCAGGGTCCCACCTGCAACTCATCTGTAAGCGTCTTGGAGCGTGTCCACCAGTGTCTGCCACGCTTTATCTGCTCTGCGACATCCTTCTGCGAGCGAGTGAGGGACTCGGACAGCTCCTGGTTTTTCGTGGTGAGCGCCTCGGACTTCTCTGAGAGGACCTCTGCCTTCGCCTTCAGTTCGTGAACCTCCTCCGAACGCTCGGCAGCCACTTGCTTCTCGCTCTCCATCTCGTCCATGTTCCGGGACCAAACCTCGTTCTGCATCTTCAGGAGGGTGCGAAGGCTCGCTGCCTCCTCCGCCCCCTGGACGTGCTCGCGTCGCAAGTGCTCGATGTCGTTGAGCTGCCGAGCCTCACTGTTGCGAAGGGCAGCCATTTCGGCAAGTGCCGGCAGCCGAGACTGCTCCCGCCTCTGTCGGCAGTTCATCTCTTCGCTGCCCTGAGCAGTCTCCGCCTCCGCATTTCCTAAGCCCTTCCCCGTGGCCTTCGCCTGGGGCTTGGCCTTCGCTTTGCCCTTCTGTGGCTGGCCTTTGCCCTTGGCCTTTGCTTTCTTCACCGGGCGAGACNNGCGCCACTGCCAGAGCTCGTAGCTCCGTCTGGGGGCCAGGTCCATCCCTCATCCCAACTGCCAGAGCTCGTAGCTCCATCTGGGGTCCAGGTCCATCCCTCATCCCAGCTCCTGTCCCACCATGTGGCGTCATCCCAGCCGGAACCATGACTGGAATCCATGCTGCTTTGCTGCGTGTTTTCCGTGCTTGTGCGCTGCTGCTGCTGCTGCTCGGGTGCTGCTGCTCACGTGCTGGCGCTGGCAAAGTCTGGTAGGGGTGCAACTGACACGAGGGCTTGCATGTCTGGCTGCAAAGACACCGTAGAAACTTGCATGTTTTCACATACCGAGTACGTGCACATACTCACTGACACGAGGGCTTGCATGTCTGGCTGCAAGGACACCATAGACAAGTCCATGTTCTCACACATGCGTTGCGAGAGGCATCCTACGAGTACATGCACATACTCACACATGCTCCGTGACGCTTCTCTGCTTGGTCCACCCTAGCCTCAGCCGAAGCGGAGAGTTTGGAATCACAGCTGGTCCAGTCTTGCAGTCTGACGTACACAAAGCAGCGTACCCGCGTGAACATGTTCAGAGAAACCGACTCTCAGGCGGAGGCCCAGCATGGACTTCCACCTTGAGCCTGCGCGCAGGCCTTGGGGAAAAGACTGTAACATGTCTGCTTCGCAAACCAGCTTCGTCTCTCTGTCGGCGTTTCTGTGAGGGATGGTTGCCAGGTGCATACTGCAGACAAGAACTGTCCTTCCGCACGGAAAAGCTTGCGTCCGTTCTGAGGTTCTTGCCTGCTTGGCATTGTCCCTCACTGCTTGGAGGCCTGGCGACGGGCACTCGTGGTCTGGGTACAGAAGTCTTGGCTTGGCTTGGCTGTAACGGGCGGGCTTTGGGGGAGA